AGAATTTCCTCCTGATCCGGGGAGTCACCGGAATGGAGGCTGAGGATACCTTGCTACTGGAAATATGAGAATGTTCCCCATCTCCTCTCTTAGACCTGAAACTTGTAAGACTTGTAAGACCTGCAGCCAGTAAAGAACATACAATCGAAACATTCAGAAATGCCACTAATCTTTATGTGAAACACCCCAAGAACATACACAAACTAAATGATCCACAGATGCTTCCACTTGCGTTGAATCAGAAACGCCACATGATAACAGTTAATTCATTCAGTAAGTCAATCAAATCAAAGTATAAGGAAGTTATTTCATAATGTCATCAGAATGAACTCTAAATCAGTTCTGTGATTGTTCATGCCTGTTTACGAACTATGATAACGATTCAATGACAAATAATTCAAGGAAATGGAAGATATAGATATGAACAGAAGCAGGGACAAACGTAATTCATTCATTTCACCATCATCCTGGTTCGTATCTAATCTAAGACCCAAAATACCACCAAAGAGGCAAAAAGAAAACACAGAGAAAGCAAGAGAAAGCAATCCAAGCAAAGAACATTTAAAGAAACACCTAATCTGCAACATTCGAAGGCATCTATCTAATCTAAGATCCATTAAACAGTTGAGCCGATATCTACTCGAAATCATCCCGAACTAAACTTAGAACTCGAAATCATCCCGAACTAAACTTAGAACTCGAAAAATCAGATAAAAGAAGAACGGGAGTTTCAAATCAGAGGCATTAGGTACCTGTATGAGGATTCACAGACTTGAAACGATCACTCCAGCAAGCTCCCATCAGCAAAATCCAATCATAAACTTGCAGCAACTTCGAAAAAGGAAAACGAATAGATTAAAAGCCCCAAAATCCTTCCAACAGATCAAACTATTGAACACAACTGAGTCAAATTTATTTTCCCTTCTTTGCCTCGATTCAGAGAAGAAAGTTGGGGAAAAAGCTGTATGAACTGAGAGATGAAAATCAAGAAAATAAGAAATGAAAATGGATACGAAAAGATCACCAACTTTATTCAGATGTGGTTCGGGTCTCATAGGCTACATGATTGGAACACTCGGAGAACAGCAAGTTTGGAATTATCTTTTCCACAACTAATATTTTATATTTTCTGGATTTCCCCCTTAAGAACACTCGAGTTTGGTATGAACAAAACATTTTTCAAAAAAGAAAAGCATTCAATTTTTTTTTTTTTTTTTTTTGGCTACATTTAAATTTAAATGATGTGCCTAAACTTTGAACATTTAAATCTTATTCCTAAATCAATTTTAATTTAGTTGTCCCATCAGTTTACACTAATAATATTTTAAACCATATAATATACGCATATTATGACAATTTTTTAATAATAATTTTGAAAGTTAAAAAGATTGAAATATTTTATATAATCTAATCCCAACCAAACAAATAATATATATTTAACATTTATTTTGGAATATTTAGATTAAACTTAAACTATGGACGGTCAAGGCTCGAAAAATTAAGGAAGATTATTATAGCTCAACCAGTGTGGGTTGAATGAACTACGATGAATGTCACTGTGTGAGCCAAGTAGATAGGTTGGGCCAACGACTAGCTAACTCATGTAGTTAGTTAACGTTATGGGGATTACATGTCAATCCCCCTATTGGTATGTGAGTTATATAAATTACCATCATGGGTCGACCATACCTAGAATGAGTTATCGACAAAGATTACAGAAGCTTAAATCATGTGGATCGATTGAGGCTAGGATGAGTCAACTTGTGTAAATTAGGTTAAGGCCCCGAAAAGTAAGCCACGTGGGTTGTTTAGGCCAAGGACGAGCCTACCTATGTGGGTAACGTAAACTTATTTAAAAGAAATATAAAAATCAATAAAAACGAGAGAGAAAAAGAGGGTCGTGAAGAAAACTCATGCCTCTGCAAGAGTATCAAATATTCTTACTTATAGATATACAAAAACTATGGAAATTACTAATATGAAGAAGTTACATATCATGATAGACTCATAGGCGGAGTACATCATATATACTAATCATTAATCCATAAAATGCTCATATTCTATACATGCGATCATAATTACTACTAATTAGGTCATGCTATTAACGTGCATTCGTCGTAAATAATCTCCTAATCAAATGATGGACAGGAGTTTTGATATGTTACTTACTTGTGTCAGTTAGCTAGTTTCTTATGTAAAAACGTCTTTAAAGTGATTATTTTTTTCCAATTTATCTTGATTACACTAATATTTAATAATTTTCATGGCTAATATGGACCAATATTGATAGGACATATTAAAAGAAGTCAAACAAGACAAATTGAGGCAAGACACTCGCCCTCACACACTCACACGCGCCTCCACGAGCCAATCCATCCTTGGCCACGCACACTTCCATGCGCACGTGAGTTCCACACGTCATCAATCCCGTGTCTGCTAAAAATTCCATAACTTTTATAGAAATGATCGTTATGTCTCACGCTCGATTTCCCCTCATACACTTGCTATCTCCCCTTGGTTTTTTCTCGAAAAGTGTAGATCTCACTTCTCCAAACCTAATGAGACAAATTTGAATTACGCACAAGTGCATCGAGATTTTTGAAGAACAACGTTATGGGTTTCCACAAAATTACTTTCTACGAGATTCGTGGGTTTATATAGGATTAGAAAACAAAGATACATATATGGATAGGATGATGTGTGGTTTTTATTTCTTTTAAGTATTTGTAAGTGCCATTTTGTCAAACACCTTACACACACATAATCAATTCAGACCCAATACTATATTTACTATGGTTTTACATGAAGCCACAGCTACATCTTAACTGGGTTGTTACGTTACAAATGATATTAGAATCAAACATCCGGCTGTGTGCTAGGGAGAATGTTTGCCTCCAAAAGGGACGGATTGTGAGGTCTCACATCGGTTAGAGCGATGAATGCTAGCTTAGACTGTTATAAATGATATTAGAACTAGATACTAGGTGGTGTACCAACGAGAATGATGGCTCCCAAAGAGGTAGGTTATATGAAATCACACATCGGTTAGAGAGGCAAACCAAAGATCAAAAAAATAATAGGGTCATTTTAATAATTAAGGATAGAGTCTATAAAAAGATGAAAAGAAAATACTTTATTATGTAAAAATTAATACATTAAATATGAATTATTCTAAAGTGAAAAATTCCATAATTATGGAAAATTGGCTTTCAACGTCAGAATCTCACTTTTCTCCACTGCGGACGGCTAAAAAATATCGAATTTTTCTTTTTTTTTCCCACGTAAATAAAAGTGATTTTTTGGAAAAAGTAAAAAAAATAAATATAATAAATAATCTAATTTGACTTTTTATTTTAAATTTTTAAAAAACAAGGACATTAATATTTACATAGAGCATAATATAAAGTTTAAAATTAAAAAAAAATCAAATTAAATTGAAATATAAACCCCATATTCAATTTCGTAAATTTTGTTTGTAATTTCTTATTATCTTAAAAAAGTATACTAGTTTTTAGTAAATTGATTACAACTTCTTGAGTAAATTTTAAATATTAAAAAATTTAAAAATATTTTTTAAAAAACTACTATTTTTTTAGTTTTTAAATTTGAATTTGAATTTGATAATATTTTTATTCAAAAAAATAGTGAAAAAAAATTCATGGCTCAAATTAAAACTAAAAACCAAAATTACGGTCGGATAAAATAACATTTAATTAAGTTGATTTTCATTTTTTTTTATATACTTCCCCAATTCCACTTATTTCTCGAGTTTTACCGAATTTAAAATGAATATTTAATATATTAAAATATAATATTATATTTACAAGACATTTCACATCTTATTCCAATTTTAAATTTATATTTAACATTTAATGAATGAATAATACCTTTTTTTATTTTATTTATATTTAATATATTTAATATCATTTTAAAATTAAGATTAAATATATTATTCTCTTTTTATATTTAATATATTAACTATAAATTTGATTACTCAAATGAAATATATTTATCTTTTTATATTTAATATATTAAATGTGTTCAAATAAATTTTTATTATGCAGTAGTCATATGAAGTTGCCTATTATAAGAAACAATGATATAATATTTATTAAGTAATTAAGTTGTTTTCGTAAATATAATTATTATTACAAACAAGTTAATCTTTTACATTTTACTCTTATAATAACATCTTATACTCTAAATATCACTCATTTATGCGTCAATCATAAATTAAGTCCTTGAAACAAAGGGTGAAGCCCCATTGTTCAAGCCTCGGAACTATTCATCTACTCACCTTTATAAACTAAGTCTTTTTCATCATCTACTCACCTTTATAAACCAAGTCTTTTTCAAATCTCCAAGAGAGTGAAACTCCATTGTTCAAATCTTGAAATAGCTCTTATTGAGAGTGAAACTCCATTGTTCAAATCTTGAAATAGCTCTTATTGAACTAGTAATGGCTCTTATTGAATTAGTCATTCATAAATCAAGTCCCTCTCTCAATAGCAAAGGAGTTAATTCTTATTTGGTCAAATTTCTCTTACGCGTAGGAATTCATAACAAAAAAAAAATATGTCCCGTCCAAATTAAATGAGACACTCAAAAATAGTAATTCAATTACATATCATCATCATCCTAGTTAAGTTTCTCAAGTAACATATTTATAAAAATCATAAAAATTGAATATATCAGATTATTTGTAAAATTATAAAGTGGGTTATATCATTAATGTGTTACAAAGATAAGACATCAAAATTTATCTAATATAATCATTTGAAGATCTCTTCAATCATTTAAAATAATATTGGGCTGTAAGTTGTGTATCACAAAATTGAAATAATTCACAATTGATTAAAAAAAATGTTTGACTTTATTGGATCTAAAATGATGAAATAAAAACAACTAGAGTTGGAAGATTAAAGTTTTGAGCACATCAAACAATTTCAAAATAATAATAATAATAATAATAATAATAATAATAATAATAATAATAATAATAATAGAAATTGGGCAGTCATAACCAGCCCATTTGAAATAACATCAGAAAACAAAGGTACATAGATATATGTGGTTCATTATTTCTTTGAAGTATTTGTAAGCGGCATTTTGTCAAACACCTTACACACACAAACACACAGAACCATACCCAACCCTTACTCTAATTTATGCCTTTTCATATCGAAAACTCCGACGCCTTTCATTTGCAGTTGCATGGGTCGCAACTGCAATTCGCTCCACATTTGCAGCCGCCTGACAAGTTCCTGCTTTACAAAAAACACAAATATAATCTATAAAACGAACAAATAAAAGATCAAAATCTTATATTAAAAACTTCTAAAAACACGAATGATGGCTGGAAATTCATACTGTTTCATGATGGGAGCGGCATCATGTTTGCATCTACACACAAAATAAATCAAACACAGAGTCAGAATTTTCTCGAGAAAATCAAATTCCCGAGAAACAAACAAGCCCCTGCGCCTTTCTCGGGAAAATTTGGTGAACACAAAAAGAAGAAACTACGTACGAGCAGTTGTTGAGATCGCAGTTGCAGGCAGAGCCACATCCACACTTCGGCATTTTTCTTCTTTCTTCTTAAACGACCAACGGAACTCAAGTGCTTTGATTTTGATCGGAAACTTGAAGCTTGCTCATTTCAAACCACTCCGTTTCACCGCCATTTATAGACGCCCCTCCGACGCCATCCACCGTACACGTGTCCCCACGCATCTTTTTAATTATTTTTGGGCATCTCACTTTTTTTCAGTTTCCTTTCCAGTTCGATGATTCTAGAATTTTGGAAATTTTTTTAAACCAAACTGAGCATTTTTTTTAAAGTTGGTCTCACAATTTTCCCGTTTTAGATGAGAAATTCAAATTTAATTGCTAAAGTTGTATACTTCAGACTTAATTTATTCAAATATTTTTTTAAATCATTTTTAAACAATAATATGATGCCCATTGAATTGGCCGGTCGGTTTAAATGGAGATGGACCGGCCTCAAGCGGTCGGTCCACCTAATTAGACTTTTCTGATTATTGATTTTGTATTTTTGTTTTGGTCCGAATATAAACTAAATTATTTCAACTTTTGCGTTTATGAAATTTCCTTCTTCAATTTTAAAATTTTTTATTTTGTATTTAATAAATTTATGATTTTTAAAATGGTAAAAAATCTACTTAATATCTTATTATATAGTTTTTGAAATTTTGCTAAACATTTTCACTTTTATAAAACTTTATTCTAATTTAATTTTTAATATCTTAAAATTTTAAAGCACTTCAATCCAATGTGTGATTGAAAAGAAGTTTCAAGTTGCAAAGATTCGATTGTTCTTGGACTCTCAAGAAAAGTCTCCATCTCTCTTTATCCCTTTTTTTTTTTATCAAATGTTTTTTATTTGACTTATTTATATAATATACTAATGAATTTTTAATAATACATATATTTAAAAATATTAAGAAATCACCCGAGAGAAAATAAGATTTGGTCACATTATTAATCAAATATCTTAAGACAATAATATTTGTTTTAAATTTGAACCACTTTACAAACAATATCAATTATATCAATCTTGAATGATTTTAAACCTGCAACATAAATTATACGGTAGAAAAACACAAATACTTATTTCACTGCTTTACAAGCATGACATACCTGGCTTTAGATAGGATCAAAATAAAAATCTAAATAATTTTTTTTAAGAATATATTTAATAAAATATCATGACTCTAAATTATCATCGATAACCATTAAACAATAAATGAAACTCATTCTTGAAATACACATGGTATGATTAAGATGTCACGTAGGGTGGCAGAATCAAACTTCTAACCTTAAAATGGTAATTAGTATATATTTTATAAAAAATTTATTTAAAAAAATATAATTTAAAAAAGCATACTTAATTGGTTATTTATAAGAGCAACCCCTTTTAAATTATTTAAATTAAAAAAAAATTTGATCGAGGAAAAAGCATAAGAAGAAAATGAAGTATTCTAAAGTGAAACATTCCATAGTTATGGAAAATTGGCCTTTGCCTTCAGAATCCCACTGTTCTCCACTATGGACGGCACTAAAAACTCCAATTTTCAAATATAAAAACCTTTTTTAAAAATAAAATAAAATATAAATAGCATAATCAATAATCTTATTTTTTTAAAAAAATATTTCCGCCAATATTTTATTTCAAAAATATTTTTTAATTTTTAAATGATTTATTCCTATCCTTATAATTTTTTTTTAAAAACATAAAAAACACTTTTAATATTAAAAAGTTTAGAAATAAATGATCAAGTACCCATAGATGATTTTCTTTCGTATATTGACATTAAAAATTCTTGGTAAATGGTATTAATGGTACTTTTAATACTAACCGTTTTCATAAAAAATATAAAAAATAATAATAATAAAATAAAATAAAACTAAGTTAAAAGAGTATTTTTTTTTTTAGATTTTTTTTAAAATTTGGAAGATTTATGAATTTTTTTTTAAATAAAATACAAAATTTATAAGTATATATATTTTTTTTTGTTAATTTAGTCGTATCAATATTAATATATTTATAGGTGAATATAGTGTTTGTAAACTTTGATTTTTAAAAACAAAATTATATCACATCATTTGATAATCCTTTTAAAAAAAAACTTAAAGCTAATACTATTTCTACCCAATAAACTTTTCCAAATATTTGTAAAAAACAAGTACAATTTTGAAAAGTAAAAAATAATAAATAAATAAATAATTGTTTCATAACCATAGAATTTTTTTTATTTTTAGTTTTTTTGAAAATTAAATAATAAGTACTGACCTGTGGATTACTTTTTTTTGTTATTTTTTCATGTATAAATTTAAAAACTAAGTTTTGGAAACTAAAAAATTAATTTTTAAAAACTTAATTTTATTTTGAAAATCTGACTAATAATTCTAATACTTGAAATTCTAGCGATTTAAAAAAAATACAAAAAAAAAAAAAAATCAAATAGCTATCAAATAATATTATAAAATAAAATATTTTTACCTTTAAATTTTGATTAAAAAGTTAATGTTTTCTTAATAAATATGAAAAATAAATATTACAAATAGATTTGTGAAATTTAGATGAATTGACATGATGGGTGGTCCAATTATTTTAATATAGAATAAAATAATCGATAATTTTGAAATTAGACAATTATTTTCCTTTTTTTCATTGGAAAAATTAAATTAATCTTTCTATAAAGTATAATTTAGCAAATAATGGTAAATAATGGTTCGATATTACGATGGATCCACAATGAAAGTCGTCCACGTATGTGGATGTGGGTCCTATATTCATTTGACTTTTAGAGTAAGTTCTTTCTCGACTAATACCATACTACATGAGGCAACAATACTTCACGTAATACTAACTCTTAGCATTTAATTAAGTCGATTAACTTAATTTAAATAGCGGTAGCACAAAGTATATATCTTGCAACCTTTACTCCAAAAAACAATCTTAGAAAATAAAATTTGAGAAAATTTAGTAAAACGTTTTGAAAAACATTTTGAGAAAGTGAAAAAATAGTTCAAGATGAACATGCAGCTATATGTCCCAGACAAGTATGATCGTGACATTTCTCCTGTAAATTGGAATAGTCCAACAAAATAATAAATAAATAAATAAAATTAAATTTTTTTTTTTTTTTAAATCTTCCTTTTCTTTTATTTTAATTTCATTTTTAGGAAATCACATCAACGTGCTACAAGTATAGATCTTCATTTACTTTTATCCTGATTTCATATCACACCAAAAAATTTATATGAGTTCCAATAAATCATTCATAGTTAAAGAATATATTAAAATTAGCCGAAAGTAATTATTAATAAAATTAAAAGATAAAATAGAAATATAGAAAAAGAAAAAGGGGAAACTACCATAAACAAAATTAAAAGAAAAATAGAGTAAATACTGAGAGCATACTTGTAAATGGAATTAACCCGTTTTTTTTTAATTGTTTAATTCTTATTCTTACAAAAACAAACAAACAAAAAAAAAAATATATATATATATAAATTAACCTAATTTTGTGGTATAAATTAATTTTTGGCCTTATTTTATTTATACAATATGAAATAATGTTTCAATATATATATACTCCAACGTGCGATGTATACAAAGTTGGGCCCATAGGCTTTCTTGCCTTAAAGCTTCCTGAAAGAGAACTATCCAATGGCCCATATACATAAGCCCAATAATACATAAAATGTAGGCCCATAATTTGCTAATGGGCCACAGCTACATTATCTCCAATTTAAAACAAGCCCATTTTTTGAGGTTAAAATCGAAAATATTAACCAAATCCATGGGACTAAGTTAATTTTTAGTATTTTAAAATATTATTAACTTTTTCCTGCTAGCGTTTAACAAAAATATAACTAAAAAAAGTAGAATAAAAATATATTTTCTATTTAATTTATTTAATTCCAAATGTTGGACCATCAATATTTATATGATTAAAAAACTATACGCAAAATTTAAAAATAATATAATTAAAAATATTCATATAGTGGACATAAATTAAATATCCATATTTTTGTTCTCAATCATTTAAATTTAATACAATCAATGCATTTTATATTGAAAAAGTATATGGTGAATCCACTTGAACAAAGATTGAAAGAGAAATATTTATGTGGATTTATATATATAATATTCTATACCCACTATTTATTTTTAATAATTAAAATTGTAATATTTTAGTATTATTATAATATGATGTTTTGATTTAAGCTTAATGCATTAAATACATTACTAAGTTTTATATTGTTAATCATATTTCTAATAATCATTAAATTAGCTAAAATATTAAGATTTTAATATTCTATAAAATATAAAAAATTAAATTTATATATAATAAATTAACTAATTTTTTAAAAAAATTAAATTTATAGGGATCTATATTAATTTGAATTTAATACCCTTTTAGAAAAGGTATACATGTAAAAAGTTAAAAATAAAAAGTTAAAATTTAAATTTTTAATAATGAAAAGGTATAAAGCCTATTCCATTTAATGAACCATTAGAGTTTTAGTGAACCCTCAACTTTATCTACTTTTTATTTTAAAATGTAATTTTTTTTTGTCTCAAAATTGTATAATTTTTGTTTTATTTTTAGGTTTGAAAATATTATTTAAATTTAATTAATTTTAGTTTCAAATGGTTACATTTTTTCCTACAAATACTTTTACTATTGAGTTTTTATTATTGAGGCTTATTTATAGTCTTAGTTTAAATATTATCATATAATTTTTTTAATTAATTTTAATAGTAATGAAAAATTAGTGAGAATTAATTAACATAAAATCTTGAGAAAATTTTAATTATAAAAATGTAACATTTTGTAACTTAAAACTCATATATATATATATATAAATTATAATATATTAGGTTTAAAGAGCAAATAAAAATTATATTAAAAACTGATGGACGAAAAGATATTTTCTCAACAGAAAATAAATTTCCAATTTTAGAAAGTCGTTAGAAACAGTGCACAGACTCCTGGGATAGTGACACGTGTCAATTTTTTCCCTTTATATTCTTGATGCTTCTCTCCCAATATTTATTCCAACTAAAATGACAGTTCCTTTAATTTATTCTTTGAAAATAACAATTTTATGAAAATTTTAAATATTATAGTTTGGTCC